CACGTAAAGAAGGGCGGAAAGCGGTACTGCCACGGCCACTCGAAACTCATCGCCATCGTAGTAGCCCAGAAAACCCGGAACCGACAAGGGGCTTCCGGTCTCCGCCTCAGCATGTCCGGGCAGACGGCACAGCAGAAAGGTTCCGGACTCCTCTCCCGAGGCCCGCCGCGGGTTGGGAGCGGTCATTGTCACCAACCAATCTGACACTGCTCCAAGAAATTTCATCATGCAGAGCAGGAGGGTCCCTGGAAATCTTTTGGTTTAAGTCCAGAAAGAAGAAGTGACTTGTGCAAACTGCGCAGTTAGCAGAACGCCAAGTAGAACCCAGATCTCGAGGCTTGTCAGTTACCATCCCATTTAAGTTGGCAGTTCTGCACTCCCTTGCGTCCCACTCAGGCTGACTTCACCCCTTCCTTTCCTGTAGAACCTTGGGGACATATTGTGTGGGTTGCAACGCTATAAGCGACTTTGGTCTCTTCAAGGATTCAAAACCAACGTTTAGTTCTCACCTCTCCTTGGAGTCCCTGTTGGCTTTATCTGACTCATCACCCAACGTACACTACTCAGATCTGTCCCTTTGCCTGCCTAAACTACTGGTCAGTTCCCAAACCAGAATTATTGTTCCATTCTCCTCACACTACACCCACTCCTGAGCTATGGAAAATTGCTGAAGGAGAAAAATGACCAGAAGGTGTTTACTGAGTCCCAGGCTCCCTGAGTAATCTTACTACTGGGCTCTCAGAGGAGTCTTGTTGTATCTAGAGCTGTAAGGTTGGGAGTCTTCTGATCTGAAATGTAATATGAACACATCTGAGGGATGAGAGTGCTAAACCAAAGGTGTATTGAAAGGAAGGCTGACGTTTGACTGCTCGGAAAGGCAACTTTAAAGAATGAGGGGAAGCTGGCCTGTTTGCATTGATTCCTTGTCATCCTCTTTCATCAAGACAGTCACCTGTGTCTATCCTTCATGCGAATCCTTTCATTTTTCTCTGTCATAATGTTTAATTCATACCTCAAAAGTCCCTCTCCACTTTTTCTTACTCTTCCTTTTGGACTCAAAAATATCATTCTTCTTTGTAGACCAACACTTTGCCATTGCTCTTGCCTCTTTTTCGACTTCCTACAGTACACCCCATCATCTTACCTCTCTCCATTTCTCCATAGTTCACTTTATTCCTTTTTAAAAGTAATGTTAGCTGGGCTGGAGAGATAGCTCAGGGGTTAAGAGCACTGCCCATTCTTCCAGAGGTCCTGAATATAATTCCCAGCAACCACATGGTGGCTCCCAACCATCTGTAATGTAGTCTGGTGCCCTCTTCTGGCCTGCAGGGACACATTCAGGCAGAACACTGTATACATAATAGATAAATAAATCTTTTTTTTTTTTTTTAAAGCAATGTTAATTGGTGTTGGCGGCAGAAGTCTTTAATCCCAGTATTCGGAAGGCAGAAGAAGGCATATCTCTGTGAGTTCCAGGCTAGCCTGGTCTATAGAGCAAGTTCTAGGACAGTCAGAGTTGTCCCTGTCTCAGGACACAGAGAAACCCTATATGTATGGGGTGGGGGGTAATGTTAGCTGAGCACTCCTTTAATCCCAGCACTCAACCTTTAATCCTACTGTCTCCACCTTCTGAGTACTGAGATTATATATGTGTGCCATATCTATAGTCTTATTTGTTTTTACATGAGGTCCTACTAGGTGGCCAGATTGGCCTTGAACTCTCATCCCCGTGCCTCAGCTTTCCCAGAGGTGTGTTTACAGATATGTTTCACCATACCTGGCGCTCTCTCTCTGTGTCTCTCTCTCTCTGTTTTTGAGACAGTTTCTTTTTGTAGGGCTGACTTTCCTGGAACTCACTTTGTAGACCATGCTGGCAGTGAACTCAGAGATCCACCTGCCTCTAACTCTCAACTGCTGGGATTAAAGGGGTGTGCTGCCACCACCTGGCTCTTTCCCATTTTTAAAAGGTGGTCATTTCCCTAAAGTCAAACCTCAACTATCTTCTTTCCAATACACATTTTAAAATTTTTTTTCAATAAACTTTTAAAGCTTTTATACTTCCATAGACACATACTGTGGTTGAGGGTGGAAATAATCCCCAAATGATGTTTCTCCCCTCCCCCTTCCCCATCATTGATTCTCTGGAATATAGCAACTTGTCCCATTGTTACCTCATGTTACACATCTGTTTCTCTTCTACTACTTTCTTTCTTTTTAATTTGAGACAGAGTCTCATGCATCCCAAGCTGGTGGGAACTCTTTATGTAGCCTAAGATGGTATTTTGCTTCTGATCCTCCTGCCTCCACCTCCCGATTGCTGAGATTAGAGATGTTCACTACCACACCTGGCCACATCCTTTCTTCTTTAAAAAGACATTATTTTATTTACATGTATGTATGTATGCATTTATGCAGGAGACAAAAAGAGATTCCCTGGGAGCTGGAGTTACAGGTGTTTGTGAGTTTCCTGACGTGGGTGCTGGGAAGCAAACTCTGGTCATCTGCAAGAGCAGTGAGCACTCTTAACCTCTGATATATCTTTTCAGCTTCCTGCATCCTTTTCTTTAGGTCAGTCCTGAAGATCAAAGTCTGACTCACCCCTAATGCCCCTCCTTCACCCCCTATGCCTGATCCCATAGATTCTCTTCATTGCTTTTAATCATAATTCCTGCTTTATAATTAGTTTCTACTTCCCACTCATTAGTATGGCTAAGTCTTTCTTTTCTTTTCTTTTTTAAAAATGTATTTATTTTCAAGGCCAGCCTGGTCTACAGAGTGAGTACCAGGGTAGGCTCCAAAGCCACACAGAAAAACCCTGTCTTGAAAAACCAAAAAAAAAAATTTTTTTTTTATTTTATATGCATTGGCGTTTTGCCTGTATGTATGTCTGTATGTGGGTGTCAGATCTTGGAGTTACAGACAATTGTAAGCAGCCATGTGGTTGCTGGAAATTGAACTTAGGTCCTCTGGAAGAGCAATCAGTGTGCTCTTAACCACTGAGACATCTCTCCAGCCCCAAATCTTTATTTTCTCACTCATGAATGCCTTTATTGCTTGTTTGTTTGTTTTTGAGATAGGCTCTCACTATGTATGTCTGGCTGACCTGGAACATGCTACATAGACCAGGGTAGCCTCAAACTCAGAGATTCACCTGCCTCTGCCTCCTGAATGGTGTGTCCAGAGGGGCTGGCCACAATGCCAGGCTTCACTCCTGGATTCTTACAATAACTTCCTAATTCATGCTCATTTTCACTCTCTGCTCTAAGGAATACATTCTACCTAAGGCCTTACCATGTATCAACTCAGCAGTCACCTTGCTGTGAGTTCATGTTATGGTTGTGATAAAAAATGTTTCCCTGCCAGGTGGTGGTGATACACACCTTTAGTCCCAGCACTCGGGAAGCAGAGGCAGAAGTCTGTGACTTCAAGACCAGCCTGGTCTACAAGAGCTAGTTCCAGGACAGCCTCCAAAGCCACAGAGAAACCCTGCCTCGAAAAACAAAACAAAAAGAAAGAAAGAAAGAGCAAGAAAAGAAAAAGAAATGTTTCCCTGAAAGTTCATGTGTTGAAGGCTTGGCCCCCAGCTGTGTTTGTTATTGAGAGATGCTTAGATCACGAGGAGTCTAACTTCATGAAGAGGTAATTCATTAACCAATCCTTGGAAGAATGGACTATTAGCTCTTGTCCGGATGTGATGGTGCAATCCCAGTACTCACGAGGCAGACTCAGGTGAATCTCTGAGTTCAAGGCCAGCCTGGTCTACAGAACGAGTTCCAGGACAGCCAGGGCTACACAGAAAAACCTTGTCTCGAAAAACAAAACAAAAATCCTTAGGTGACAGATGTGGCCTGAAAGAAGTATATCTTTAACAACATATAGGTATGTTCCAAGAAACACAGGCAAATATCTATAAAACAGATAAACATGTGCCCGGAAATAGGCGTGCACTACTTAGGGAAGCAGATATTTCAACAGAGAAAACAGAAGCCTCTAAAGAGGCTGAGAGTGCTGCAAAAGATAATCGGATGTTTCCATGGAAACTAAAGTTGCTTTGTATGTGTTTGGGGGGACCTGGCAAGTGTAACTCAGGAAGGATGGGAGATGAGAGTTCCCCCGTGAGAACCAGTCCTCACTGCCTGGGAAACACTGCTCATATACCAAATGGTGAGTTGCAGAGAAGCAGATATGTCAATGGAGTATCTTATCCATATTTCTCAAGAAGCTTATAGATGGGCCCAGCTAAGAACTTGGCTGTTAAGGAGATAACATGTTTCTGAGCCCCACAGTCCAGTGTTCCTCAGCCTGGAGCTTCCTCTAGATCTCATACACGGTCTGGTTGTTGGCTTTAGTGGACACCAGGGGGCAGTGTGTGGCCATGCTGACTCTAAGAAGATAGGGGATAAAGGCCAGGAACCTGGGACTCTAGAATCTTATAGAAGAAGCCCCCCACTGCCTTGGGCTTCAATCCTGAGGTCCTTAAGGATAAATTCCTGTTGCTAATAACATTCCTTCTTTCTGTCTCTGAGTAAACTGAGTAAACTGAGGTACAGAGTAAACTGAGGTACAGAAAAGGGCAAAGCTGGGCTCCTGGGTAGCCTTTCTTCCTTCCAGGAGTCCATGTAGAGATTTCTTGCCCCTCCTCCCCACACCTCCCCAGCTAAAGGACCCAGCTGCTGTCCAGACCGGAAGGGAGTCTTTTCCTGCTTGTTTCCTGGAGCTGGGTTTGGATAGGGCCAGGAAAGGCCCCTCCCTGGGAGGAAAGAATATAGGAACATGGCCTTCTTGTGGAGGCAGAGGGCAGGTGAAATACCAGAACAGCAGGGCCATGAACATTCTTTAAGCTGTTCCCAGTAATGAGGCCCCACAGAACTATCTTGGACACAGACCCTACTAAGAAGGGATTATACAAAAACATTTTTTTAATTTTAAAGACTACTTCGCTTGCCTTCCATTTCCACCGATCCAAAGGTCTGTGGGAGAGAAGAGAGTGAGGAAAAGGAGTAGGAAGGGGAGGAGAGATTCCCGGTTCCAGCAGAGGAATGGCTGCTGAGGAGCGGAGCCCCTAGGCCTGGGCATCGCTGTCTTTACTCCTCCACACCACAAGGGTGACCAGGAAAGGGATGAGGCAAATGGGGGCGATGATCATGGCTAACAGCACGTCCTCTGGGGGATCGGAGAAGGTGGGCTGCACCAGGGAGCAGTTGGTAAAGTGTATCAGATGAGTCTCAAAGAAGATCCTTTCCGCCAAAGGATTTGGGAAACCCAGGCCAAACCTGTCGGCATGGTACTCCAAGCAATTCTGCAGGTCGCTGTAATGCCTGGGGGCAGCAGGGGGTCTGAGTGAGGGAAGGATTGGGCACAGGGTGAGGGGTGTCCCACATTCACTCAAGGTCCACCCACAAGGAAGTGGCCCAACTCCTGGCCAGAGCCGCACTTCAACACTGCCCCTACCTGCTAATCAAAGTCCAGTTACACCAGTCCTTGATAGAATCCATATGACTCTTGTAATGATCCCAGCAAGGTAGGGCATTCATCTCATAGGTCTCCTCCATATTCCCTGTGGGGACAGCCGTTTCACAATGACCACACCCCTGGCCTTCCCTCCAAGCCTTCTGACCCAGGTATTTCCAAAGTAGAGAGCCCTTTGCCTTTAGACAAGGGAATCCCTCCGAAAATTTCCCTAGCAGGACACTTGTGGCTGAGGGGAGGACCGGGCTCTAGAGCCCTGTAATGGCTTCCATGTGCACAGTTATTTCCTCTCCCGGCCTCACAAGCACAGCCACCTACATCTTGTCTGAGGCTTTTTACCCAACTGGGGCAAGACACCTTAAAGCTGGTCCGGGCTTTGTGGGACAATAGGGGGAAAGACCACAGGAACCCCAAGGAACACCAAGGAGGTTAGTGGGGAATCAACAGGCCCTAGGCTTGCTTTGTGAAAGGATCCCCTCCCCTGTGATGGCTTTATCCTTCCACGAGGTCGTTCTCCCACAGACTCGGACACCCACCTTTTGACAGCAAGCTGTCCTCAGTGGGAAGAGAATGATTCAGGGACTCCGGAGAGGTTGAGACAGCTGTATGAAGACATGAAAGAGAAGGGCGAGATGATATGGGCAGAGGTCTGAAAAGTTGGAGCCTGTTTAGGGGTAGTGACCAAGACCCTGGAAAGTCAGCTCTACTTTGGAACATAAAGAAAAACAATCTCTCCCTCCCTACTAGATTGTCCTAGTGAGGGAAGGGAGCGGCTGGTACCAGCTGCTCCCCACTTACACCCGGGCCCAAAGCCCCCTCCCTTCTTGTCAGTCCCGGACCTCCCAAGACCTCTCCTCCAGGTCCTGGCAGGCACCCCAGCTTTTCTTAAGTGGGAAGCGCCGTGCTGTACCATCGGGAGATGTGTTCAGGCCCCATCTGCAGATCAGAGGTCCCGCGCTGGCCTCGGTAGCCCAGGCCGGTTCACCCCCCACCCCCGGACCTC